CCATCATAAATTACAAAACATTGCCGGTTAACACCTCGACGCTACACGTTCCCATTTTCTTTTGAGGTGAACACTTGCCTCTGGCAAGTGTTCACCTCAAAAGGAAGTTCTGTCATGAGCCGACCAGGTGAAAATTGGTACAGAAATGTGCGAGGGGACTTGAACAAAATGTTCGCATGATTTTTTTAGATTTGTTTTTTTTTTGTGTGAGAGAATCTGAACACTCAATGATTTCCAAAGCAAAAAAAAAATCCTAATATTGAAAGAATCAGAAAAGCCAACAAAAAGGCGGAGAAAACAGCTCGAAATTGAAAGTTCCCACAAATTTTGTGTGCCTCTCCACGATTCAATTCAATTCAATTTATTCAGTCTTCAGAGTAAGATGAAGAAAATCTCTGCTGAGTCATGGTATAATCGAAGAGTTAGTCGTCGGCGCGGGTTACGGTCCACAATTGTTGTCCAATACGTCCCGGAGTGACAGTTGGGAAATAATGTGGGCCCGTTGGTAGTACCAGCGAATAAACTGCTTCAGCATGTTGGAACAGTATAGCGCCCAGCTTGTCCAGGGCTGACAGGCGTCGAAATATTATCCCATGAGAGAGCGGCAATCAGACCGACTAGTCGATGGGATTAAATGAGATCTCCACGATTATCGAACGTGAAAGTTCAGTTGAAATTGGTAGGTCGACAAATTCAGTTAGGGATCAAATTATTGGCACAAACGAATCAGATGTGTCGTAATCATGTTTGGGGAGCCTTTTTTTAATTCTGAAGCTTTTCCTCAACTTGAATAGACGCATAATCGGCGGCTTCTGCAAAGTTTTGCTTTGAAAACTTTCAAAGGCGCAGAGATAATTCTGAAAAAACCAAGTGCCTTCAAATATTCCAGAAAGCCTTCCTCAAATTTCAAACAAATTGAGAGGCCCGGATATGATTGGATACACTTAGAGGACTATGACAACAAAGGTTATTAAAAAAAAGTTCAAACTGAGAATAAATCATTTCTTCAAAAACGTACTTCGCCTTGGAATATTTCCTTTTTTTTAAATTTTTAAGGGTAAAAAGAGAAAAAAATTAAATACATGAATGAGGAGACATTTTAGGAATGATTTTCTTCGAATTTACATTTTAAAAAAATCGTGTTTACATTGAAAAATAATGAAAAAAATTCGTCTTCAACTTTTCAGTGTTTGCGTCCATCACACCGATGCGCCCTTTTTAAATGTTGCAGGAGCCGTTTTTCGGAGTCAAATTGCACTTTTTTTCCTGTTTTTATTTCGAAATAGCATTATTTTTTTCATTTTTTTCTTTTTTTCCGAATCGAATGATAATAATTTTTTTCTGAGTAGAAAAAAAGAAAAAGTAAGCTGCAAAAATCCCATTGACCTTTTTTTCTAGGTAGTTTTTTAATACTTTATCAAAAATTCTTATGATAGTTATACAAAAGATTTATACCAAAACATGAAGCTCAGTTCGGACAACCTCTCAGAACAGAAAACTGATTCGAAAACGGTTCAGAAACGCGCAAAAACATTTAAAAAGAAAGCGTGCGGCAGCGGGTAAACCGTGAGATTTTGCCTCCAGTTGTAAGCCGCGCGCACTTGTTTTTTGGTCACAACTTTTTTCTTAGTGCACCTTTTTTCAAAAACTAAACGAATTATGAAAACTGACAATCTCCTCTATCGAACAATGTGAAAAACATATTTTTTGAATCGTTCTGAAGAAATGGCTTGCGGTCTCTAAACATTGACTATGGATTCGGTACAAGTTGAAACTATGGTGGTTTATAGACTTGGGTAAGAACTCTTAGAAACAAGAGAGTATCTGCTAAACCACATAGGCTTCTGAGAAAAAGTTTCTCAAAAAAATCGTGGAAGAGTCCTGTATGTGCCTGAACCTGCCTCTCTCACTAGAGGGCAAGTCTCATGATTGACTTTTTCGAATAGGTTCGATTCCTGTTGAGGGCAAAATGAATGAATACATTTAGACAACTACGACAATAAAGGGTATTGAAAAAAACTTCAAACTGAGAATAAATCATTTCTTCGAAACGTACTCCGCCTTGGAATACTTCCTTTCACTAAGAATATTCAAGGGTAAAAAGAGAAAAAATGAAATATCCATATCCACAAAAACACTTTAAAATCGAATTTTTTTTAGATTAATCCGAAAAGAGCCTCAAGTGAGAATTGATAGGACCGGAGACCACTCCCTAGTTAGTTTTCTATGTTTCTACACATTACACTTTCATATCGGAAGTGTACCATAATATGTTCTAGACTATACCTCTCGAAATGGATCGTTAGTATAATCTGTGTACCACGACTTGGAATTCCACCGGACGACATTCCGCCGTTCCGCTGCGTGTTCGGCCGCGCTTTTACTTTTTTATTTAATTCAAGAAATCGCCCAACTCGTGTTCCTAGTAGAACAGTCTATCTATCCGAAATGAGAACCATTCAAAGCGAAACCGAGGCTCGCAAAGACGCTTCGCGACGCAGCGGAACAGCGGAACAGCGGAATGTCGTTCGGTGGAATTCCAAGCCTTGGCACACAGCCTATATCTAAAAATATGTTCATCACGAGACCTCCAGTGAACCTTTCAATTCTACCTGTGCCACACCGGTGAAAGGTGAGATCGGTAGACTGGCATGGGTGAAGCGTTGCGTAAGGAAACTCAAACGCGAGCTAGGTTTTTTTTTCTCCTTTTTTGATAGTTTTTTATTTTTTATTTTTTTTAGGATCAAAAAAAAAGTAGGCTTCGCCCCTGCCTTCCACCTCGCCTTTAAAACCGGGAGAAACTCACTAAATCCTAGACTTCAGACCCTTCCATACTCCTCACTTAGTATCTCAATCAAAATTTTTTGATTCGATTTTGTAGCCCATCATAAATTACAAAACATTGCCGGCTGACACCTCGAAGCTACACGTTCCCATTTGCCTCTGGCAAGTGTTGACCTCAAAAGGAAGTTCTGTCATGAGCCGACCAGGTGAAAATTGGTACAGAAATGTGCGAGGGATCATACTAACCATCCCAATTCTTCCCTTTGTTTGAGTTAAAAGGAGTTGATCAAATTACGGTCACGATACAGTAGAGCCCAGAAAAAATGAACAACAACTTGAAAAAATTCTTTAGTTTATTTTTATATTGATTAGAAACCTCTCATAAGCTAGAAAATTTGATTACGGTAACTCCCTCAAAATCGAGAATGTTAATAGGGTTTTTGAAAAGAGCAGAATGAAATATATTTCCGAAAATCAGATCTACAGGAAAAATTGCACGAAGCGATATACAATCACAAGATACCGTATACATTACCGTCAACTTTTCAAAAACATACCGTGAGCCACCATGTACCACTAGGCCATAAATAAATCCAAAAAAAACCGTTTCCCAAGTAAAACATTCAAAAATCTCCATTCCCAGTGCCTCTGGCAAACTTCTCGCTTCAAAATGATCCAACAAGGCGAGCGGGAAAAAGGCCCAAGTGTCAAAAAGTTTTGAATGTAGAAAAGGTTCCTCTTTCCGTTGAAAATGTTTTTAGGTACTTTCCATGTGTTTCAACGGAGTGTCGTACGGAATAGTGAGGCGAGTTCGGAAAATAAACTTAATTTTGCGTTTTGATATTCATCTAGGTCGCGGACAAAGTTGATTTTTTGAAAACTACTTATAAACAGTAAATGCAATTTTTTAAGCCAAAAAAATAAAAATTCTATGTTCGCCGAAAAAATTGAGAGGCGCGCAAAGTCAGAAATTGTTTTCTCAATTGCAATGCAGTATTGGAAGATGTTTATGCTTTTTTCATATTGAGAAAAACATTGCTCAAATAATACTTGTTGCAACTACAAGCAAATGTACTGTTTTGAGTGGTAAAAAAAGGTGGAGAACTTTTTGGGAGTAATTTTGACTTTCCCGGTCGAAGACACGCGTTTTTTTCTTACTCATTTATAATAGTTTTTTTAAATTTCAAACAAATAAAGCAATAAAAATCGAAAATTCAAGATCGCCGAAAAAAATTTTTCTCAACAAAAAAAGGTGAATAAAAAGTAGGCGAAATTACATTTTTATGGGATTCAAAGAGCACTGTAGGCTGTATTTGTGCAGTCACTGAGACGAAAATGATGGTAAATTGGGATTACAGCTCGTAAAACCTTCTCTTTTGGCTCCTGAAACCGTGCCGACCTTGCAAATGAGGGTGCGCGCAGCTTGCATGAGAATTCGCAAAACCAAAATTTCAGTGCAAAAATTTTTGCTTTTCAATTACTTTTAAATATTGTTTTCTCCTCTTATTCTTAATATTTTTCGTTTTTCTTTTCTGTTTTCGCATACTACATGTTAAAATCATTATTTTTATAACAAAAAAACGAGGAGCTAGCTTGAGTTCGAAAAATAGGTCTGTGGTCCCTACGTAAGTCTCCACGTCCTTCATTCTCACTTTTGATATTTCCTTTTCCAGCTCAAATTCAAAGAAAAACTGCGCCGGAAGATGGTCGATTTGGGAGAGATCAACGAGGTACGGGTTTATTTCAGTTGAGAAATAATGATTTTTGTGCCAAATTGAAGACATTTTACTGACTTGAAGCTTAATTTTGGGCCTTTTTTCAGATATAATCTAGCCAATTTCCTCAATTTTTTTAGTTTGTTCACCGCTGACTATAACTGCTCCATTAGAAACATCCAAACTTTTTTCCATACTATTTATTTAAAACTAATTCTTTCCCTCAGAAAAATTGACTCAAGCTAGACAAGCTGACTAGATATTAAAAATAAAGTAGGAACACTGAAAAGTCAAAAAAAAAAAACTATTTTTGCTCCTCCGTTGCTCTTCCTGACTATCTGCTCATTAGATTCGATCGAAAAAAAAGTCCAAAGCCATAATCCCAGTGTCTAGTTCGCTCCACTAGACTACAGTAATACCCTTCAATATTAGGACAAAAATACGATCTCACAGTTGCAACTGTTCTAAACTCTACCCAATTTACAGAAAGAGTTCTTCGAGATGACGCGCCGCGCAGAAGTCGACGCCTTCTACCCGCCGTCAGAAGAAGACACGCAGACGGTGTATTTTTTGCCGATGAGGTCCGATGAAGGAGAGAGAGAAGATCCGGAACTGGCGGCTCTCGCCGAAGAAGAACGATGCCGAAGCCCGCAACCGACCATGAACGAGTTGGATTCGCTCTACGAGGACGACGAGGAGCTGGCTCTGGAGGGAAAGGTCCCGATTTCGCGTGAACCAATGACGCCGCCGCCAGAAACTCCCGAGCCGACGTTCGATTTTGTGCCATTGTTCTTCCATCCTGATGCGCCTCCCACTTTTGAAATGGCTTCTTCGATGGCAGCTTACGCATCGGAAGTCATCGCTTCGGAGGCTGAGAAGGCTAGAAATGGCCGTCTTTTCAGCGACACTGCTGAATATTCTCAGTTGTGCGAAAGGGTAACCGAATCTTATATCTGATGACTTCATCCTTTGCTCCATGGAACGTATGCCTTGACCAACTGTTTTTGCCATTTCCTTATGTTTTTCTTCCTCGTTCAAACGGGATTGAACTTCTGATCTCTCCAGCCATAAAAAGTCCCTTTTCTTTTTATTTTCCTTCTTTTCATCTCGACTTCTACCATGTTTTTCGAGCAGGGATCAATTTTGTAACCCCTGAAAGATAAAATTTCCGCTCTCCTTGCGTCTTGATCACCATCCCTGCCAAGAACTAAGTTTGGATCGATTTCTTGACATTTTCAAGGCTTGAATAGGCATATTTCTTTTTGTTTAGTCAAACTTTGAGTCAGCTATTCATTTCCTTTTTTTTCCTATTTAACTTTTTATTTTTTTGATTATCAACAGTCGCCTGTAGATGACCTCTTTTCATCATGATCTCCATTTTTTCTCCAAAAAAATCTGATCTCGCAACTCCCCAAATATGCGGGTTCCTCCTCTATTCTTGTATTATTGTGTACTATTATTATGAATTGAATAAATTGATCCCGAAATATTTGTTCAATACTTAAAGAAGTCTGCAATAAAAGATGGTTTTAAGTATCAAATCGAATCGAAACTCAACTCAAAAGCTTTTTCTGAATTTTTCTCATAAATTAAATTTAGAAGAAAATGAATTTTCTGAGAAAAAGTTATTCAAGAAACCATAATCAATTAAAAAAATCTCAAATCAAGTCTGAATCCAATAATATTCTCCCTTTGGAGTCTAGCAAGAATAATTTGACAGAGAAATGCGAACAATCTCAGGAAAATTTCGAAAAAGTCAAAGTCTTCTAGAAGTTTCCAGATGATTCTCGACGGTCCTAGAAAAACTGAGAAACATCTACAAGGCGAGAGGAGAGAGACACCAGGCGGCGAAAGAAAAAGTGAGACAATGGTCTAGGGCAGCGGAGATCCCAGACAAGCAGAGAAAAAGAGAGCGAGGCAGAGAGAGAGGAACAGAGACAAAAACGAGCGAGGGGTTCTAGAAGGGTCTGGAAACATCGCGAAGATTCGAGAAATCCTCAAAAATTGTATATAACGGCTGGATTTCGCCGTAGTTTCAGATTCACTCGTTGAATATTCCTGCTTCCAAACTTCCAAACTTCCAATCTACTCTCACCTCAGTCATGTCCAACTGCAAAGCTATCGGCATCGACCTGGGCACGACCTACTCCTGCGTCGGCGTCTATCAGAACGGCAAAGTCGAGATCGTCGCCAACTCTGAAGGCAACAAGACGACGCCTTCCTACGTCGCCTTCACCGACACCGAAAGACTCGTCGGAGACGCCGCCAAGGACCAGGCCGCCAGAAACCCGGAGAACACCGTCTTCGACGCCAAACGACTCATCGGCCGTCAGTTCGATGATCCAGCAGTCCAGGCCGACCTCAGACATCTTCCGTTCGCTGTGACCAGTCGCGCCGGCAAGCCAGTCATCCAAGCCGAAGTCAAGGGCGAACGGAGGACCTTCAATCCCGAGGAGATCAGTGCGATGGTGCTCGGCAAGATGAAGGAGACTGCGGAGACGTACTTGGGTCATCCAGTCCGCGACGCCGTCATCACAGTCCCTGCCTACTTCAACGACAGCCAGAGACAGGCCACCAAGGACGCTGCCACGATCGCCGGCCTCAACGCCATCCGAATCATCAACGAACCGACTGCCGCCGCTCTGGCCTACGGCCTCGACAAGAACATCGTCGGCGAGAAGAACGTCCTCATCTTCGACCTTGGTGGAGGCACCTTCGACGTCTCCGTCCTCACCATCGCCGAAGGATCTCTCTTCGAAGTCAAGTCCACGGCTGGAGACACTCATCTCGGAGGAGAAGACTTTGACCAGCGGATGGTCGACCACTTCGTTGCCGAGTTCAAACGCAAGACCGGCAAGGACATCAGCAAGAACCGCAGAGCGATGCGACGTCTCCGAACTGCCTGCGAACGTGCCAAGAGGACGTTGAGCAGCTCCGCCGAAGCCATGGTCGAAGTGGACTCTCTCCATGAAGGCGTCGACCTCTGCTCCAAGATCACTCGTGCTCGTTTTGAAGAGCTCTGCTCCGACCTCTTCCGCAAGACTCTGGAGCCGGTGGAGAAGGCTCTTCGCGACGCCAAGCTCGACAAGTCCAAGATCGATGAAGTCGTGCTCGTTGGAGGCTCGACTCGTGTGCCGAAGATCCAGAAGCTGCTCAAGGAGTTCTTCAACGGCAAGGAGCTCAACGGTTCCATCAATCCTGACGAAGCCGTCGCCTACGGAGCAGCCGTCCAAGCCGCAGTCCTCTCTGGAGTCCAGGACCAGGCCATCAAAGACGTACTTCTTGTCGACGTCGCTCCTCTCAGCCTCGGCATCGAAACTGCTGGAGGCGTCATGACCAACCTCATCGACCGCAACTCTACGATTCCCTGCCGTGCCACGAAGACCTTCTCGACCTACGCCGACAACCAGCCAGGCGTTTCGATCCAAGTCTTCGAAGGAGAGCGCGCCATGACTCGCGACAACCACCGGCTGGGCCTTTTCGAGCTCTCCGGCATTCCTCCAGCTCCTCGCGGAGTCCCGCAGATCGACGTCACCTTCGACATCGACGCCAACGGCATCCTGAACGTCTCCGCCCAGGACAAGTCGACCGGCAAGCAGAACCGAATCACGATCCGCAACGAGAAGGGCCGTCTGTCCCAGGCCGACATCGACCGTCTCGTCGCCGAGGCCAAGCAGTTCGAGCGAGAAGACGCGTCGCAACGCGAACGAGTCCAGTCGCGCAACTCCCTCGAGGCCTACGCCTTCCAGGTGAAGCAGGCCTTGGACGAGCACGGCAGCCGGTTGCCGGCCGAAGACGTGAGTCGCGTCCGCGACGCCTGCGAGGAGACGCTCCGCTGGCTCGACGCCAACAGCCTCGCCGAACGCGAAGAGATCGAGGCTCGCGACAAGGAACTCCGCGGCGTCTGTCAGTCGCTCATGACGCAGCTCCACCAGCAGTCGTCGCAGCAGTCGCAGAGCTCCTGCGGGACTCCCGGCGCCGCCGGCTTCTCCAACGCCAACTACCCCGCTGGACCGACCGTCGAGGAGGTCGACTAACTTGCAAATTCCATAAATTATTGTTCAATTGTACATATTCGTTGTTTTCTCACAGTTGTACTCGGGTTTTTTGTTGCTTTAATAAATCCGCTTTAAAAAGAGAAACGTGTTCTTTGTTCACATTGAAATGAAAGAAACCTGAAATTCTGGAAGATTCTCTGATGGCCGGCAAACTCTTCATGATATTCGAAATCTCCTTGGCTTTCGCTTCTTTTTCTCGGAGTCCGCGGTCTGGAACTTCCGAAATGTTCTTCTTGTTATTTGAGACCCTTTTTTTGGAATTTTAAAGAACCTATAAAGAAAATATAAACGATAATGTGATTAAGGAGCGATTCAGAAAGAGGAATAGGAGATCTCCAGACTTTTCGAAAAAAAAACTATCAAATATTCCAGAAAGACTTTTTTAAATTTCATGAAGAAATTGAAGCTTTGATTGTAAATTGTCAGAAAAACATACAAGAGAGATCAAATCAAACTTTTCACACGGAATATTTCTGATTTCTTCGAAACGTACTTCATTTTGGAACACTTTTTCTTATCTAAATTCTTACTTCAAGGGTAAAAATTCAAAAAGTTAATTTTCCAGGCTTTGAACAGGACATTTTCCTGTAAACTATTTTTTTTCGAATTCCTCGAAATTCCGAAAGAAGAAACGGTTAGGAAATCTTTTTTTCAGAGTGAAATTTGATCAATTTCAAAAAAAATGTTAATTTTCACATGGAATTACCAGTTCAATTTTGACCTCAAGAATCCAAAAACATAAAAAGTTCCGGGTTTTAAAGTTTCCAAAATTATATGTCGAAAAACGTGTTTCTTAGGACTCGGTGACTGATTCACGGCTGCTGACCCATAAGGTAACCTTATGGGTCAGCTCCTATAAGCCTAGAGGGACTACTTGGATTTCAGCCCTTTGGTGACCGCTATTTTGCCCCCTATGAGGAATTTCGAGTCTTGAGCCAATCTCCAAGGCTGGTAAGTCATTTCGTGGGGAGAGGTGTGGTGAAGTCGAGCCCTCGGTCTGGAAAGTCTTTTCCTTTCATTTTTCTCTGGAGATTTTTTTTGTTGGAATTTTCTCGGACTCTAGAAAAGATTTCAAGCGAGATAATGTGATAAAATGAGCGATTCAGAAAGAAATAGGATCTCTACAAGCTTTTCAAAGTTCAAAATTATCGTTAGTTTTCAAGAATCTTCAAACTGACACAAGCAATTCGATAAATAGGTGGAAAAGGGAATTAACTCAAAAAAACTTGAAAGTTTTTTTGAAAATTTATTGAAGTTTACTAGATTTTTCCATAGAAATCGCAATTTTATGCACAAAAAGCGATTGAAAATTATTCGCAATTCAACTTTTCCTCGAAATTTTCCGAATCGGGTCCATTAAAAACAAACCAACGATAATCAGTTGGCTTCTGGATTTCTCATATCCCTTGCCCATATTCGGATAGTCTTTTTTGTTTGTAATTCTGAAGCTTCTCCTCGATTTTAATACATAACTCAACGTTATTATTAGATAATCGGTTTTTCGTTTGAAAAACTTTGGCGCAGAGCAATTTCTGAAAAATACCATGCTCCAGGTCTGCAAAGGTTTGAGTGTTTATCATCATTTATTCAATACGAATAATAATACAGTTCAAGGGCCGAAAAAGACCTCTAACAGAGCCAATTTTTCAAAAAAAGGGAAATTTAAACATTGAAAACAGCAACAAACCGTTTTAAAAATAAGAAGATATTTTTAAGAAAGTCAGCGAGAAGATGGGGGTTGTTTTTCTAAATAGATTTTGAATCGCATAGAATCATTACATAGATCAAATACAACATCGGGAAGGGAGTTCCAAACATTAATTATTCTAATACTAAAAAACGAGGCAACGATGTTACTATTATGTCTTATATTTGAACGTAAATAATAACGAGCGCACGGACACGGGGAAAAAGAAGAGACTATCGAAATCAATGGGGACTTCTCTTAGTACAATTTTATAAACAAGAGACATGTCAAAAATGAGGCGTCTTTTCTCAAGAGTTTTGAGACTATTTTCAGATAAACAAGTGAAATAAGAGTGGTAGGGCAAGCCACAACGATGGTAAGCTCGGAAAAGAAAACTTTTCTGAACACCTTCAATCAAACAAATATTGTGAGAGTCAATTGGAGCATAGACTACAGAACAATAATCAATAATAGGACGAATATAAACTTCAAAGCATTTTAAATACAACGAAAGCTCAGTGGATCGAAACACGTTAAACATAACATTTATGCGACATTTACACCGTCTGCAGATTTCAGATATATGATCAGTGTGAGTTTGAAAATTTTCTTCCAAAGCTTTGCTTTTTTTTTCTCGAATTTTATAAATCGTATCCGCCGGCGTTCTTTTAGAAAAAAAAAAAAGACAAAAACGGACTTTTGAATCAGGTTTTCTTAGAGTTTCATTTCACTGAAAAGAATTTTTTCGATCAAAATGCTCCGAAAAAGGGCGAAATGTCTAAAAAATATTGACAAATTTCGGTAGGGGTTTTTTGAGAGAGATAGTTGACTTTTTTACATGTTATCATGATTTCCAAACACTCAACCGATATTTCACTCATTTTGAAGTTTCGGGCTAGGCACAGAGGCCGAATTGGGCAAAATTCGATTTTGTAGCCCAATCATAATCTACAACCATTCCCGGTTGACACCTCGACGCTACACGTTCCCATTTGCCTCTGGCAAGTGTTGACCTCAAAAGGAAGTTCTGTCATGAGCCGACCAGGTGAAAATTGGTACAGAAATGTGCGAGGGATCATACTAACCGTCCCAATTCTTCCTTTTGTTTGACTTGAAAGAAAGGAACTTTTCAAACTACGGTAACCATACAGAAGATCCCAAAAAGAATGAATAGAAACTTGAAAAAATTCTTGCGGTAATTTTGAGTTTATGGAAAACCTCTCATAAGCTAGAAAGTTTGGTTACGGTAACTCCCTCGAAATCGAGAAGGTTAAAAGAAAGTATTTTAGAAGAGTAGAATGAAAAATATTTCAAAAGAGCAGTTCCATAATAAAAACAATAAGAACTGATATCCCATCACAAGCTACCGTATAATACCGTCGACTATTTAAAAACTTACAGTAAGCCGCCAAGTACAACTAGACCATAAATCAATCCAAGAAAAAGATTTCCCAAGTACAGGGTGACAAATTAATATTGAAACCGTTTTTTGTTTGATCGCTGCTTTTTGCACAAAGGACTGGCCATTGAATTTTTTTGTTTATTTCGTTCATTCAGGCTCACTTATCATGTGTTTGAAGTTACAGCTCACACTTTTCAGTTTTCTGGTAATGGTGGCCCCATCTCCGTACCGAACCGCAATCATTGATTGTGTCAAAAGCTGAATGACGAATTCAGAGATCGGTAAAAAGCTGGAAGTGTCTCGTGTTCTCGTTTTTCGAACTGCACAACGCTATCGGCGTCTCGGTACTTCAGATGACATGCAAAGAAGGGGAAGTCAAGTCACCGTCACGACTCCAGAAGCAGTCAAAGCCGTTCGAGAGAAAATCAGACGCACTCCGGGAAGAAGCATGAGAAAGATGTCAAAAGAATACGAAATGAGTCGAGAATCGATGAGAACTATTGTCAAGGACAAGCTGAAGATGATTCCCTACCGTATGCAGAAAGGAGCCTTCCTCAATCAAAAAAACAAGACATTGCGGATGAAAAAGGCTTGAAAGCTGCTCGCTGGCACGAAAGATGGCTCGCATCTGACGACGCTATTTATCGACGAGAAAATCTTCACTGTGGAGGCGAACAAGGAGGCCAAAATCATTGGATCATCGCTACTGACTATCAGAGTGCCTGTGAAAAAGAAAAAATTCTGAATAAAACTTCGCATCCGGCTTCCGTGATGGTTTTTGCCGGAATTACCGCTGACGGCAAAACTCCGCTGATTTTTGTGGATCCTGAAGTCAAAGTGAACCAAGTATACTACAGGGAGTAGATTTTGAAGTTGAGGGTGTTGCCCTGAGCCAATTCTCACTACGGAAACTGACCATGGACCTTCCAGCAAAACGGCGTCCCCGCTCATCGTGCCAAAGGGACTCAAGAGTGGTATCGCGCCAATTTTCCGAGTTCATCTCGGCTGCTGATTGGCCTGCTTCCTCGCCCGACCTCAACCCGATGGACTATGCCGTGTGGATATATCTGACCGAGAAGGTCTCTTCTAAGAACTACCCAAGTATCAAAGCTCTGAAGACCGCGCTCATCAAGAAATGGGACGAAATCGACGACGACTACCTTCGTGCCGTGATCGATGCGTATCCGAAGAGACTGAAGGCCGTTATCAAAGCTAAAGGAGGACGTTTTGAAAACTATTTTTGAATTTTGTTTCTATATTGTATGAATAAAATTTGTTCCAAGTTTGGTGGTGTTTGGTTGACTTTTGAGAAAGTTATAACGTTTCAAACGCGTTTCAATATTTATTGGCCACCCTGTAAAATATTCAAAACAACTCCATTCCCAGTGCCTCTGGCAATTTTTCATTTCAAAATGATCGAAATGTTCCAACAAGGCGAGCGGGAAAAGGCCCAAGTGTCAAAAAGAGGCGGAGCTTCGGCCCGAGTCCCAAACCGCCTCCTAAACACTTCATTCTGGCCCAAGTCGGTTCTCCCGAGCTGTTGCCCCTTTTTTTGTCTTTAAAAATTATTTTCTTTTTTTGGAAACTTCTCTTCTTTCTTTATTTTCCTTCTATGACTATATTTCCATTGATCAGTTCTTGCTAATACAAAAAAGAGCCTTTTTTTTCTTCTTTTCAGGCTGAACTTCTCTAGAAAGGTTCATTTCTTACTCATTTAAACTTTCCAAACGCTCCCTTTTGATTTTTAGATCGCAAAATCTGCAATTCAGGCGACCTTTCCACAGACTCCGAGGCTTCTTTTTCGTTCCCTAACTGTTTTTATTTCCTCCCTTTTCGATTTTTTTCTAACAGTGAAATTTTTCCAGACGGAAAATGTACCCCTACAGGTTCTACGAAGAGATTCCCGAACACCAGGAAATCAAGAAGGAAGAGATACTGATGAACGTCCGTTTTGAAACCGTAAGTCTCCAAGTCCTGAAATTCTCATATTCAACTTTTCTTTTTCCAGCTCAAGTTCAAAGAAAGTTTGCGCCGGAAGATGTTCGAAAAGGGAGAGATAAACGAGGTACGGGTTTATTTCAATGCACCAAAGTAACAAAAATAATGGTTTTCGTGCCAAAATGCGCAATGCGAAACCTCAATTAGAGTTGAAATTTTGGTCTTTTTTCAGGCATATCCTACTTAATTTTATTGATTTTTTTGAGTTGATTGGCCTCTGACTTCAAACAATAGAGAAAAGAGAATAGAAAGATACTTCATTATAAGGAGCATCTAACAAGGGAGGTACTTCCCTATGTGGTTGGGAGCCCCAAAATGCCTATTTTAACGGATTTTGAGGGTTTTCTTTGACTTCGATGTGTTCTTTCTCAAAACTAAGAATTTGTGCAGTTTGAGACTTTCGGGATCTTCTTTTGATACTTTAATAAGTGTACTGGCCATTTTAAAAAATAATCCCAACCGCAAAAATAAATTACTTTCCTTGTAAAAAAATTTCAAATCCATAGTGTCTAGTTCGCTCCACCAGACTACAGTAACACCCTTCAATATTAGGAATGAAATATGATCTCATAGTTGAAACTGTTCTGAACATTACTCAATTTACAGAAAGAATTTCTCGAGATGACACGCCGAGCAGAAGTCGACGCCTTCTACCCGCCGTCAGAAGAAGATACGCCGACAGTGTATTTTTGGCCGAAGACGACGGACGAAGGAGAAACAGAAGATCCGGAACTGGCGGCTCTCGCCGAAGACGAGAGATGTGTCACCCCGAAGCCGACCGTGAACGAACTGGATTGGCTATATGAGGACGACGAGGAGCTGGCTCTGGAGGGAAAGGTCCCTATTTCTCGGGGGCCAATGACACCCCCGCCCGAAACCCCAGAGCCGACATTTGATTTCGTGCCACTGTTTTTCCCCCCTGATTCAACTCCCACGTTTGAAGTCGCTTCCTCGATGGCGGCTTACGCCTCGGAGATGATCACAGTGGAGGCTGAGAAGGCTAGAAATGGCCTTGGTTTCAGCGACACGGCTGGTTATTCTCAGTTGTGCGAAAAGGTAACAGATTCTCATATCTGATGGTTCCATCCTTTTCGCCAACAACCGAGACCATTATCAACTTTTTTGCTTTTTCTCCGAGCGGGACTCGAACTTGACCATTTTGAACAAACTTCCTTCTTTTCTTCTTTTTTATTGCTAATTTTTCTAACGGGGATCGAGTTTTCGACTTCTTCAGCCAGTTCCCTTTCTTCCGACTTTCCTTCTTTTTATCTCGATTTCTGCCATTTTTTCAAGAAGGGATCAGTTTTGTAACCCTTTGGAAGATAAAATGTCCGTTTTTATTTGATTTCCTCGAGTCATATATCTCTATGAAATGACAGCTCTTTCCCGATTAATTAGTTCGGCACTTCCATTCCTTTGCTCGCCTTTCCAGACATGAATTGAGTGAGGATCGACTTCCTGACCATTTCAAGGCTTTAATAGGCATCTTTCCTCTTGGAGCGTTATATTTTTAGCTGATTACATCTTCAGATCTTTTCTCTTCTTTTTTTGCCATTTCTCCAAGCAGACATGATCTCGCATCTCCTTCAATATGCGGGTTTTCTTTCTGTTCTCGTATCATTGTAAATTATCATTGTAAATTGAATAAATTGATCACTAAATGATTGTTCAATATTTTGGAAAAAAATTGATGTTATTATTATTATCAAATCGAATCGAAACTCAATTCAAAAGCTTTTTCTGATTTTTTCTCACGAACGAAATTTAGGAGAAAATGCATTTTCTGAGAAAAATTAATTCAAAAAACCATCATCAATTAGGAAAAACTTTATTTCAAGCCGAAGAGGTATAAATCTAATGAAAATCTCCTTTGGAAGTCTAGCAAGCATAATTTGGCAGAAATTCTTCGGAAAAAGTGGAAATTAAAGGAAGTCTTCTAGAAGTTCCTAGATGATTCTCGACGATCCTAGAAAAACTGAGAAACATCTACAAAGCGAGAGGAGAGAGACACCAGACGGCGAAAGAAAAAGTGAGACAATGGTCTAGGGCGTCGACCTCTGCTCCAAAATCACTCGTGCTCGTTTCGAAGAATTCTGCTCCGACCTCTTCCGCAAGACGCTCGAACCAGTGGAGAAGGCTCTTCGCGACGCCAAGCTCGACAAGTCCAAGATCGATGAAGTCGTGCTCGTTGGAGGCTCAACCCGCGTGCCGAAGATCCAGAAGCTGCTCAAGAATTTCTTCAACGGCAAGGAGCTCAACGGTTCCATCAATCCTGACGAAGCCGTCGCCTACGGAGCAGCCGTCCAAGCCGCAGTCCTCTCTGGAGTCCAGGACCAGGCCATCAAGGACGTCCTTCTCGTCGACGTCGCTCCTCTCAGCCTCGGCATAGAAACTGCTGGAGGCGTCATGACCAACCTCATCGACCGCAACTCTACGATTCCCTGCCGTGCCACGAAGACCTTCTCGACCTACGCCGACAACCAGCCAGGCGTTTCGATCCAAGTCTTCGAAGGAGAGCGCGCCATGACTCGCGACAACCACCGGCTGGGCCTCTTCGAGCTCTCCGGAATCCCTCCAGCTCCTCGAGGAGTCCCGCAGATCGACGTCACCTTCGACATCGACGCCAACGGCATCCTGAACGTCTCCGCCCAGGACAAGTCGACCGGCAAGCAGAACCGAATCACGATCCGCAACGAGAAGGGCCGTCTGTCCCAGGCCGACATCGACCGTCTCGTCGCCGAGGCCAAGCAGTTCGAGCGAGAAGACGCGTCGCAACGCGAGCGAGTCCAGTCGCGAAACTCGCTCGAGGCCTACGCCTTCCAGGTGAAGCAGGCCTTGGACGAGCACGGCAGGCGGTTGCCGGCCGAAGACGTCAGTCGCGTCCGCGACGCCTGCGAGGAGACGCTCCGCTGGCTCGACGCCAACAGCCTCGCCGAACGCGAAGAGATCGAGGCTCGCGACAAGGAACTCCGCGGCGTCTGTCAGTCGCTCATGACGCAGCTCCACCAGCAGTCGTCGCAGCAGTCGCAGGGCTCCTGCGGGACTCCCGGCGCCGCCGGCTTCTCCAACGCCAACTACCCCGCTGGACCGACCGTCGAGGAGGTCGACTAACTTGCAAATTCGATAATTTATTGTTCAATTGTACATATTCGTTGTATTCTCACAGTTGTACTCGGGTTTTTTGTTGCTTTAATAAATCCGCTTTGAAAAGAGAAACGTGTTCTTTGTTCACATTGAAATGGAAGAAACCTGAAATTCTGGACGATTCTTTGATGGGCCGGCAAAATCTTCATGATATTCGAAATCGCCTTGACTTTCGCTGACTTCATCTTGGCCACTGCTTTCCCTCGGAGTTGCTTCATTTTTGAGCCGACCTGACATTAATTTGAATGAATAGACGATGATACGACGGCGATGTGATAATGGCGCATGGCCGAATCGGTTCATTTTTGTACAAAATTGACGAAAAAAGGAGAATTTCCTTTTTTGTAATTCTGAAGCTTTTTCTATGATTGGATTCACAATAACTAGAACAAGGGGTATTAAATTAAACTTTAAACTGGATGTATATCATTTCTTCAAAACGTACTGCGCCTTGGGATTCATAAAGGTTAAGCTCAATTTCGAGCTCAAAATTTAACAAAAATAGAAAGTTTGGTTTCTTAAAATCTCCAATTCTTGCTCCATGATCGAAACTTTTCCATCCATCAACTTAAAATTCTGAAAAAAAAAAACAAACAACAAAGTAACCGCGGAAGACACGATCCACACAAAAACTTTACAAAGTTATCAAAAAAACCAAAAAAAAATCATTTATTTGATTATTAGTAGATACATGACAAGACAAGAGACTTCACAAAGACATGAAAGGGGTTAGAGTGTTAGTATTTCGTTAGTAAAGGTAAAAATGCTTTCAAAAGGTAAAATTGAAGGATTTTATTGCTTTCGTGAAGTTCGAGTACAAGTTCAAAATGTTCAAAAAAATTTCAATATGTACAAAAATCGTGTGTGGGAAGAGATTACGGTAGTCACTCAAGGGCTATCGTAGGGAAAATGAACGAAAAATGGTCAGCTTTCTCCCAGAAAAGCAAGAGAGAGTAGGTTTTGAGGAGACTCTAGAGAAGATTTCGTGGACCGCCGTCTGAAAGGACCTCTAAAGTGACCCCTTCAGGGTCTAGAGTCCTTTAAAGTCTTCTAAAGACCTTCAAAGTTGGTACTTCAGGCTCTAAAGTCCTCTAAAGTCCTCTAAAGACCTCTAAAATGACTTCTTCAGGCCCTAAAGTCCCCTAAAGACCTCTAAAGTGACCCCTTCAGGCTCTAAAGACTTCTAAAGTGACCCCTTCAGGCCCTAAAGTCCCCTAAAGACCTCTAAAGTGACCCCATCAGGCTCTAAAGTTTTCTAGAGTCCTCTGCAGACCTTTAAAGTGACCCCTTCAGGCTCTAAAGACCTCTAAAGTGACCCCATCAGGCTCTAAAGTTTTCTAGAGTCCTCTGCAGACCTCTAAAGTGACCCCTTCAGGCTCTAAAGTCATCTTTCTAGCTTCTCTCGCGTCTCTTCACGGTTCAACAGTCTCTCTCTTTTTAAAAACGAAGATCTCTGATTTTTCGAATCTGAGTTCTTTGATAGACGACAGAGAAGCAGAAATATCTATCTTCTCTGGAGTCTCTCCAAGCTTCCAACTCTCTCGCTTCTAGTGGAGAACTGCCATCAGAAAAACTGTACAAAAACGAGAATTCCAGAGAGTAAAAGGACAGGGAAGGCAGTAGTGGGATGGGAAGAAAATTATGGCGATTCTAGCGATTTCTATCGGATTAGATCAAAGATTAAAGATGGTACCAAGGCTCTGGTTCCCTAACAAACAAGCTGTGGACAGAATGGGCTGCTAAGAAGGGTAAATCAAGAAGGAAACGGAAAAGTTGGACCACGAAACGGCCCAAGTAGCTGATGTTCTCGCCCAAGTTCTCCCACAGCTCGTGTAGGTTGGAGGCGATCTGAAAGAAAATGAAACTTTCGATTTTTCTTTCTCGATAACTTCCAGGACCTCTCCCTTGAGTTCCTACAATTTTGAAAATAAATATAGAAAATATAGTGATCTTTTATTCCTTCATGACTACTCTACTGCTTGGAAACACTTGAGAAATTTGAAAAAAATTCATGGAAAAATCAGAAAATTCAAAAAAATCGATACAACTACAAATCAGGGCATAATTTTTAATCGATAATATTTATCAGAAAATCTCTACAGTACTGGAAAATTTTTTAGTGGCCACTATAGGGTTTTGACGTTTTAGAGTCCACTATAGTAGTCAATATAATGGCCACTTAAGGGGTTGAAAATTAGTGGCCACTATAGAGGTCTAAGTGCTACTACTAGACCACTAAAAATTTTAGTGGCCACTTTAATGGTCAATTGATAAACGTAACTGGTTCAATCTGTTTGTTTGAAAATTATCAGAGTTACTGGATAAAAAACTGCTGAAGGGGCCACTAAATAGAGAACCTCTATAGTGGCCACTAAAAGGGGAAACAGTGGCCATTATAGAAGTGGGTTTAGTGACCACTTTAGTGTCCTCTCCAAGTAGTCCTTGGCGAGCCACTAAAAATTTTCCCAGTACGCTTTACTCCACTATAAAAAACTGAAATTCAGAAAAAAAGTACTTTAAAATATCAAAAATCACTAAATTCCCAAGGCTGATTCATATAAAACTTTCAAACTAAAAGAAAAACCAACACTATCATAAATTCCTCCAAAAATGGCGGAAAAGATGATGCCGAACGCCTCAAAGCCATGGTAGATCTTGCAGAAAAAGTCGGCAATCGCTGAAAAATCACAGAAATACTTATAATTTCATTTTTCGAGTGCTAACAGTCAGAAATCTCGTGGAAAAGGAGCTGCGATTGTCTGGGGATCTCGACGATTGCACTGTGTTGTTCTGGAGCGCACAAGGCGTCGAAAAGCGGCGAAAATGGGTGGGCGAAGAAGCTGAAAATATAATTAAATCGAGGCGAAGTTTCAACTTAAGGGATCGGGCAGAATCTTGGTATAGCTGATTCACGGCTGGCTTGAAAAATCGAAAAAAAGTTCCTGACACGATAATGCATGAGACAGCGCCTGGCTCGTGGAGAGCGCAGACAGACCACGCCCTCTTTGTGTCCCAAACTAGCCGTGAAACAGCTATAGTTATTCATTTTGATGCCGCGGTTCAAGAAAACGCGGCGAATTATCTTGGAGAAGTCACTTAAGGCTACTTAGCAGCCCTAGAAAAACCCTAGGATCTGAAAAATCTCCGAGCATTTAGTTGAGCTCCCAACCCTTGAATGGCCATTTTACGTACTTCAAGTAGTTCCTTAAGGGTGGCTCTTTCTCTCTAGCAAGAAAATTCCTAAAGTTCCTTACAACTTTGAACTAAAAATGCTTCAGAATCAAAAAAAGTCATAAGAATCCTCTACAAATTTCGACAAAAAACTCAAAAAACTGACTGGCAGAACCATCCCTCATGGTCGGGATCCAGCTGGTGTCGGATGCTTCGGAAAATGACTATCGAGACGAAAAGGGCAGAGAGTGACGTCAGCATGAGGCCGGCGTACTGTAGGCCGACCCTAAAATTTCTTTTTGGTGGTTCGAAAACGTCTTCCAAGAACTTATCTGTACATCTCTAGTATTGAATAAAAATCCTTATTTCAAAATTTCTATCCTTTTGGTTTACATAGCCCTCTCAAGCTTGGTTACGCCTTTCTGTAGACAAAAAATTGTCTAATTTCCTATCTAATTCCATTTTCAAGCTTCCTATGTTATTCGTTCAAAGAAAAACTCCTAAGAACTCCGAAAAAAGTGAATTTCTGAGCCAGTTTTAAAGGACTATCAAGTTGAAAAGTTATAGTATATCCAAAGTAACCATTCTTTTTTAGCTTTTCAATCCCTACTTATAGTCCTCGGGGAGCTTTCTGTACGAGATTTTGACGTCATCGACCGTTTCCAAAACGGTATTCCTGATCTCATCGTAAGCTGCCTTGACGTCAGGAATCGGGACAGTGATCGACGAGGTGGCAATCTGCAACAGTACTCCTTTTTGACGATTTAAGAATATGATTAAATTCTCAAAAAATTCCCGGAATCGATCCCAAAGCCTTGATCCTAACTGAACTCAAGAATACCAGAGTGGTCCTTATAGGGGTTAGAAAGGAAAAAAGCCCCTATAGGAGCCGGAAAAGTGGTCCCTATAGGAGTAAAATTGAAGTGGTTCCTATAGGGGCTTAAAGTCTGACTTCTTAGCCCCTAAAGCTCAAGTGGACCCTATAGGAGTCTTTCAATTTCATTCAAAAAACGGTTATTTATTCAATTTTCCGCAAGGAAATGCTGCTTCACTTAGAGTTCATAACAATTACATGTCCCCTATAGGAGCCACTTTTTCAAGCTTTAATGGACCATATAGGGGTTGGTAAAGTGACCCCTAGAGGGGACCTTCCAAGGGCCTTTGGCACCACTCTGGAGTTCCTAAGAAGCTTAAACCTGAAGTGAAGCTCTTCGAAGTCTATTGGACCTTTTTCGAAGCTCTAGTTCTTTTTCAGTTTCCTTTACCTCATGGCCTCTTTTATCGTCGACGTGAATTTCCAAGGTTGCCGAGGCTGGCACCGGTTCAATCGTGCCATTCGACACGGGTTCTCCTGAAAAAATCATCCAAAATGAAAAAGAAAACATAAATACACAATAAACACAATGCCGTGTTCAAAATGCCTCGGCGAAATGAAATACAACCGTCAAAGAGTTGAAAAATAAATCGTGGAGAACCAAGGTATAATTTTGAATTTACTCTGAATACGGAGTAAGAAAAAAAAGCATCTATACTTCAAAGAGTGATGGGAAGGCCTATCCAGTAGTCTAGTATTGTAAAGGTTCTAAACTCGGAGGGAGCAAAGCGGATGAAATGAAAAAAACGGTATTTATACGATTTTCGCTTTTAAAACTTCTTTAAGCTGTAAAACGCCCAAACAAGAGATACTAGTTTTTTGGGGGTAGGATAGTTTTTAATACACTACTGGAGAGAACACAAAGCCTTATGGGAGGACACCCTAATAACCGTTAGACAATGAAAAAAATGTCTAAATTTTTTCAAGGAAAATATATATTTCTACCAAACTATCAACTTTTTGAGCCTACAGTTCTTCTTAAAATCCGAATTTTACCTGCTGGAACGATGGCCAATTCGCTTTCCGAGGGAATTTCGACGATTTTCAGGCTTTCCGGGCCTGGAACTGGGACAACAGCCGTTGAAGAGTCCAATTCGACCTAAAGTTCATTTTTTTGAATATTTGTTTTGATTCAGCAACTAAAAAATGATTAAAAATTATTTGAAAATAATGGCCTTGAAAGCAAAGTTTTTTTCAAAAAAATTCTAAATTTAATTAATTTCATAATTATTCACCTCTCGAACGGTCGTCGTGGATGACATTATTTCTTCGTCCGAATTCGCTACTGAAAAATTAACAAAATAATATAAAATAACACATTTTGCTTCAATTTATCACATAGAAACCTTTGAACAAACATAAAATCTTCAGAAACTCGAAAATTCTTTTGGAAAAAAAGGCTCAAAAAAATGAAAAAAATTCAAGGATCTGAAGCAAATTTGAACCCTTCAACATACATAAAAAAACTTTAAAAAGCCTGAAAATTCTCAAAAAAAGGCTAAAAAAATGAAAAATTCAAGCGTCTAGAGCAAATTTGAACCTTTCACACACATAAAAATCTTCAAAAAAACTTGGAAATTTTTTTAGAAAAAAAGTCTCAAAAAAATGAAATGAAATGAAAATGAAAAAAATTCAAGGATCTGAAGCAATCTTGAACCTTTCAAACATACATAACATCTTCAAAAAGCCTGAAAATTCTCAAAAAAAGGCTCAAAAATGAAAAAAATTCAAGCGTCTAGAGCAAATTTGAACCTTTCAACACACATAAAAATCTTCAAAAAAACTTGAAAATTTTTAGAAAAAGTCTCAAAAATGAAATGAAATGAAAAATGAAAAAAATTCAAGGATCTGAAGCAATTTTGAACCTTTCAAACATACATAACATCTTCAAAAAGTCGAAAATTCTTTAAAAAAATTCAAATAGAAAAATTCAAGCGTCTAGAGCAAATCTGAACCTTTCAACACACAAAAAATCCTCAAAAACTTGGAAATTTTTCGAAAAAAGTCTCAAAAATGAAAAATTCAGCGTCAAGCCGATCCAAAGTCCAAAGAAGGCAAATTCGAAAAAATGAATAAAATTTTTCTGCAAAACTCAATTCTGAGCTTCCAGACACCTTTCGAGTGTAGTAATATTTCCGAAAATTTCGAAACGGACAAAAAAAACAACAACATCAAAAGTGAGGCTCAGAAGTCGGTGGGGGGAATCGAGTCACATGACATCCCGCCTCTCTCCCGCAACACTCCCCATTCTTTACCGATTGTTTACCTGCCAGCCGGTAGGCAGGTAGGTAAATTGGTGGTACAATGGAAGAGGCAACGTTCAAGGACAAAAAGAGTCTCTTCTTGCAGAGTTTCGTGATGTCAAAAAAAGCTTGGAAAAAAATGATATTTTACAGAAAAAGTAACATATTTTTCCGGGTTTAAAAAGTGAAATGGGTCTCAAAAAATTATCGTATAAGCTGGGTTTTTCACCCAAAAAACTCCAAAAATAAGAAAAATAAAAATAAAAAGTTCCGTTTGTTCAAGATGCATTTTATTTATAATTGAAGCGTTTTTGGAAAAAATATGAAAAATAATTTCCTTTTTATTTGAGATCCTCAAAGTCCCTGAAAAAGACAAGTTCACTTGTACCTTGCTTGCGTAATTTCTCGAATTCTGAAAGTGCAGTCTAGCTAACCAAAAATCAAACTAAAACTAGCTAATAAAGAATATTTCTTCTTCCAGATCGTCGTTTCTATCAAAGTCTTCCTGACCATTTTCACACATTCTCATACTTTTTGAGCGTGAACCGGGAAAAGTCGGTCTCAAAACAACAAAATCACAAGGCCATTGTTCTTACAAGCTTTGTTAGTTTTTTTTTTCCACGGAGTCTCGAAACAAAATCGAATTATCAAATACTTTGTTATCTTATATGATCATTTTAAAACCTACCGGTAGCGAGATTTTCACGGACCGCGTCATTTTACTCATTTATCTCTTCTATCGGGTTGAAATGGGGGTTTTTATAAAGTGAATATTTTTCAGAAATATCTTCGAAAGTCACCGTTCAAACGTTCAATCAAAAACTTGTTCCTCTCGAAACTTAAGAATATTTGAAAAAGACAAAACGGGAAAAGAACTAGCTTCCTAATTTCGAGGATTTCATACAGGGTGGGAAAAAGTTTGATATGAAACATAGCTTCCTACCTTTTCGATTTTTAACTCATCAAACTATTCTTGATTATTTTACTCTCAATGTTTCCGGCGCAACAGGTTGAGCGCCTGTTTACGGTCCACAGGGTCACGGGTTCGATCCCGACTCGACCCAACCAAGGGGTTTAAGAAATGTTGGTAGTGGGAAACTAGAACTTCAAAATTCTCAACCGTCACACACAAGGACGGATATGTCACTAGAGCCAGTCTACTGATCTCAGAACCTCGACTAATCGACTTGGGGTGCGTCAATCAAAAATTTCGAAAAAACTCAATTTCCTTCATAAGATTACATGAATTTATAGTCTGTGTACCACGACTTGAAATTTCACCGAACGACATTCCGCTGTTCCGCTGCGTGCTTTCGCGAAACGTCTTTCGAATCTAGGTCACGCTTCCAATGGATTTTCATTACTGTGGGAGCACATGAAACTAGAGTACCTTAATAAAGGAAAAAAAAATTATTGGTGCGACCGAGGTTCGCAAAGGGACGCAGCGGAACAGCGGAATGTCGTTCCGTGAAATTTCAAGTCGTGGCACACAGACTATAGTTGAACCGCAGAAAATAAACTTAAAACTTTCAAAAACACGAAAAAACAAGAAGCTTCGAAGAAAACTGACAAAGCCAATCAATCAGTTCTCGTTTTCAAAATTTTTGTCAACTTTAAACTTTAAACTCGAGCTCAAAAATGTCATGGATGCTCGAAACTCGAAACTGACATCTTACTGAGAACCCTTTAGGAGCTCCCAATTGCAGAAAGAATAAAAATTTCTTGCAATAGATCTCGTTTTCGAGTTATAAAGCTTCGAGGACCGCAAAATATGACAAAAATTGCTATTTCAAGCTTTTGAAGTGTCCTAACTCAAAAAGAGACAATTTTTTTCTTGCTCTGCAGTCAGAAGGTTCTAAAGTACACTTCAGCGAAGCTTCATCAAAAAGTTTAACCGGGGGTTGCTAGTTTAAGAAAAAGTTTCAAACCAGTCTGGATAGGTTTCAGAAAGACTTTTCTCGAAACTTTTCGAGGGAGAAAACTAAGGTACAGTGCAAAAGGGTACAGTGAACGTGTGGGAATTGGCGAGACGATGTGTTGTTTCAAGTCGTTGGGCAAATATACAAACCATCATTACGCATACAGGCGACGGACACAAACTTCTCAGGCAGTATCTTCCGCACTTTTATCAAGTATTGATTGATTTTCAAGGAAGTTGAGCGGCGATTTTTTAATGGATATCAAGTTGAAAGGTTCATTCAACAACTGGAACACTCCACCAGAAGGTTCATTTTTGGAATTGAGCCACCTTTTTTTTCAAAACTTAAGAAAACTTCAAAATTTTCCGTATCAAACAATTAAAAAACGTCAAACTCTAGAACAAAAACCAAGAAACTTAAAAAATCATTACACATCAACTCTATCAAACTATGGTCGCATTTGGAATGGCTAATCTATCAAAACTTTGAAAAACCCCCTAGATTTCGGAATTGAAGCTTCTGTACCTCCTCAAACCACCAAGAACTTATTTATTTAAGAGAGCTTCAACTTTTTCTTCAAAATTCGCCGAAAAAAAGAGAAAAATCCACAGAAAAATAGAAAGGTGCGGCGATTCCGACAACAACAAAAAAGAGCAAAAAGACGAAAAAAAAAATAGTGGGCGTGGCCAAGTTTTTGTTGTGTTGTTGGCATGTTGCCCCGTGCTTCGGATCGATCCGTCGAGGAGGCCTCGCCAGAAACAAACAACCTTTTCCACAGCCTTTTTTGCTCATTTTTCCAAATAAGTTTGCAAAAGAAGACATAAAATCTTTAAAAAACGCTCATTTTCATCAAAAATTTAAGGCTAGTGCTCAAGTCTCTTTCACAAAAAGAAAACTAGAGAAAATTGAAAATTTTGGGGATTTAATACAACATTTTTTCTACAATTAGGAAACTCTGAGCTTTCTAAACACCTTAAAGCTCATGTTCATCACAAAACAAAAATATTTGCCTTTGAAAAAAAGTTGAAGCCTAATTTTCTTGGAGATGAAGCTGCTAGAACTTTGAATTGAAAAAAATTTTTCTTGGCTGCAGAACCTTGGATTTTTATTTTCAGTGAAAAAAATTTGGAAAAAAATCTACTATTTGGTCATTTTTTTGCATGATAGTCTTCTACTTTCAACAAAGATGCGGCCAGAAAAAAAACTTCGAAAATCACTTAATCTTCTCGGGTAACGAAGAATTTAGTTCGAAAAGTATAAAATTTATGAGACAGAGATTTTTTCAAAGGCTCAAGAAACCATATAAAAGTGATATTCGCAACTTCTACAAAAGTTTTTTCAAACCCAAAAAATGCAGTTATTCAAACTTTCGCCGTTATACCTTTAACCACGGTCAAGTCGACGACTTGGACAATCTCCAGCGGCGGCGCCGAAGCGATCGCTTTAGGGTTCGAAGGTCCAGGAATGGCGGCGACGGTGGCGGCGGTAGTGCGGCGGGCGCGAAAAACGGACGAAATCGTGGAAACCATGCGATTCTGTAGAGGTTATTTTCGTGATTTCTTGGAAAGATGATGGTGTGGGTGTTGAGTTAGTTTTTCTTGGGGGAATTTAGAAAAATTTGATAAAATTTGATAATTTCAACGAGTGAAATCAGAACTGGGATCAGAGAAAAAGGAAAAAATGCCTTCAAAAAATCAAAAATATCAAGAAATCATTAAAAAATATTTATTTAAATTTCTGTGATTTATTTTTTTCTGAAGAGCTCAATCTCAATCGATGGTTCCTGGCTAAGAAATCTCGGGTCTCGGTAACGAAAACCATGAGCACTCCGGACATTTCTAGGGATCACTTAAGAGCGCTGACATCACTAAAGGGGTCACTAGAACTTCCCTAACACGTCCGATTTGATCCATAACCAAAAATATCACTATTAATAATTCAACAAATAGGGCGTTCTTTTTCAGTATGAAAGGAAAAAAATAACGTGCAGGAAAATATTCAGGGTCAACGGGTCTCTGTTTGCATTCCAAACATGAAATGAATGGGTGGCAGAAGAGCTTATATATTTTGCGACAAGCGGATTATGAAAAAGCTCAATATATTTAATTTTTTTATATTACAAAGTGTGTTGTCTTCTTGATTCAACTTTGAGAAAGGGTTGAGTTTTGAATCGGTACTTGAAAAAAACCGAATTTTTATAAGGTTTTTCCAGCTCACTACCATTTTTTTAATGATAACAACATGATTTTCAATAGTTTTTTTCTTGGTTTAAAAAAATTTTTCGATATTGTTGTTTTAAAAACAGCCTTTTTTTGCTTCTAAGGAAAAAAATAAGGATTTTTTTCTTATAACATCTACTTAAACACATATAGATTTGCACAATATGAATTCAAACTTGACGGTCGCTAATAGGAAAATGAAAAAAAGAAGAAAAAACTATAACTTTTTATAGCGTAGAGAAACGGTTCAAACGTGAATTCTTCAAAAAAATATTGAGATCAATATTTCTTCGAAGGAAAAAAATTGTACAAAAAAACCTATTTTAACGTTTATATCAATCTTCTTTTTTTATTGATTTTTAATATTGAAAAAAATCAAGTTTAAAGTATTTTTTTCACACATAATCTACTCAAAAACTCCGGAAGAAGAAGAAGAAGAGAATCTACTTAAAACTCCATAGCCTTCACTTATTCACTTGAATAATATTTTATTATCAAGAAATATTTCCAAACCGCTCTCTTCCTCGCTCTCCGACGGGCTCGGCGTAGACTGTCGGTAACGGCGTGCCTCCAGCCGACTGATACGGCGTGCGATTGCTGGAAAAGGCCCAATTAGCGAAAAAAGGATCGAAAACAAACTGAATTACAGTCTATCAAAATCAAAGCTTCAAAAATCATACGAAGAATTCGTTTACGAATCGACCTCTACTCAGATATGTGAGATTTTGAAAACTTATTCTTTCTGTCGAGATAAAAAAAAGAAAAACAAGTTACAAAGGGCAATAGATCGAAGCATTAAAAAATAAATTGACGCTTTCTTATAAATATATAATGAAAAATCATAAATCGAATGGAAATTTCGTTTAAATTTGCAAACGTTCTTTAAAGTTATTTTCACTTCCTTTTTCTCAAAAAACTAACTCTGAGATTTTTCAAAGATATCTCCAATTGCTCCCTAGACGTTTTCCTCTTGATAAACAATAAATCCTCATAAAGTACGAAATCCTGAACCAACCATTGCTCCTCATGATCGGGTAACTCATTTAGAAGCGACTAGAATAACTCAAAAAGAATAAGAATAGAAGGGACAACGAAAGTCCAGCGGTTGAAGTAGGCTATGCAAATGCTCAACGGGGGAAGCAAGTGTTATCGTTCAAGTGGCCAACACGCCCTACAGTTCATTTCCTAGCATCTTGCAGGAAGTGTTTGAAAGGGAATAGGACAATAATTGGAATAATATATGCTCTAGAGAAAACTTTTTTCCATTAATAGTCTAGGCTCGATTATAGTCTGTGTGCCAAGACTTGAAATTTCACGAAACGACATTCCGATGTTCCGGTCTCGCTTTGAATTGGTTCTCATTTCTGATAGATGGACTGTTCCACTAGGAACACGTGTTGGTCGACTTCTTAAATAAAATGAAAAGTTAAAGGCGCGCAAAGTCACGCAGCGGAACAGCGGAATGTCGTTCGGTGAAATTCCAAGTCGTGGTACACAGACTATATGAGCTTTTAAAAGCTCGGTCGAGTTCGGTTGTGAGGTTATTGGTCTTCTCAGGTCAATTCTGGAAAGGTGTTAGAAGCTTCTGCTTTCTGTTCCTTGCAAGGCTTTTGGATGCTTTCCAGCAAGCTTTTCAGAAAGCTGTCTTTTCTGGAAGACTTCCTGCCGGATGCCCAGATTTTTAAATTTTTCATCTTCCGAGGACCTTCCAACTACCTTCTGGAAATGTTCCAAAAACTTCTGAAGACCTCCAAGCTGCCATATACCTTCACAAAACCTTTCCCCGATTTTTCTGAACTCAAACAAAAGTTCCTTGCGTGAAAAGTGTTTCTATAGTCCGTTTTTCGCGACTTGAAAGGGCGGGACTTCTCTGCGCCCTCCTTATCTCTCAACGTCTCTCTCATTTTTACGTGCTATTTCCATGTTTCTCTGACCTCGCCAGTGAGGAAAAAGAGAGACGCAGACACGCAAAAACTGTCAAGTCACGGTGAACGAACTATATTTTCCCGGCTAACTTTGAGAGAGGCTAAGGAGGCGTGACCTGTCTGCGCTCTACGCTAACCAGACACTGTCTCTTCTTTTATCGTGTCAGGACCCATTTTTTGATGGCTCAAGCCAGCCGTGAATCAGCTATATTGCATGCCAACCTCTCAATAACGCTTAAGACAGTTCTAACGCAGCCTTTTTTGAGCAGATGGTACGGAAAAAATAATCTATGCAATAATAAATCAAGTAAGGGAAGCTACAAATAAAACGTTGAGCATCCAGAGGAAAATCCACTCCTCCCCATCCCGAATTTCATATTCTCACTCTCCAAATGTTAAGCAAACATCGTCGCTTCTCTTGTAATATTCTTTTCCGGCGAGAAAATTTGCAGTTGTCCACAAAGAGGGATGGTCAACAAAAGAGCTTCTTCTCGAGACTTTTTTTCCGGATTTCCTGAGAAAATTCTCAAGAATCTTGGGTGTCACGATGGAAAGTTCTATGCAGATTAGGAAAAAGGAGAAGAATACAGTGTACTGGGAAAAAAATAGGGTAAAGTGGTGGTTTTTTGGAACTTTTTTCGAATCAAATTCAATTTCCTCAGCTTTTTTCGTCCTATATTTTTACTGTGAAAATTTTTGGTGGTCACTATAGGGTTTTGACGTTTTAGTGGCCACTATAGTAGTCAAATTAGTGGCCACTCAAGGGGTTGAAAATGAGTGGCCACTGTAGAGGTCTAAGCGCTACTACTAGACCACTAAAAATTTTAGTGGCCACTTTAGGGGTCAATGGATCAACATAACTGGTCCAATCAGTTTGTTTTAAAATTATCAGAGTTACTGGAAGGAATACTGGATGAAAAACTACTGAAGTGGCCACTAAGTAGAGAACCTCTAAAGTGGCCACAAAAACGTAAAATAGTGGCCACTTTAGTGTCCTTTCCAAGTAGTACATGGCGAAAACCTTCATTGAATTGGCCGTAAAATATCTCGACCATAAAGTTTAACATGAGAAATTCATTTCATCTTTATTAAATAACTTCTTCCTGTCCGTAAATTACCAATGGTTCCTGAAAATATTCAATAATGTCCTAGGAACACCTGAAATACTCATGGAGCCTTTTTAAAAACATAAAAATCTTAAAAAATGTACGTCCGAAACTATTATTACTTAACTTAAAACCCGTTAACTCAAGACAAAACAACCCACATCTCGCATGGATGCCAATATTTAGAAAGTCGGACCGAGCTTGGGCCAACCGATCGGGAGCCGAGAACAGAGAGCGAATGAGAGCCAAAAGTGTAACAGTACAAAAAAAAGTTCTCTTTTTCTTCTTCTTTGAACTCGAAACGAACGCCGCCGATCAGGTGTCGCCCTGTCATTTTTGATATATTACGGCTCTTGGGCGATATAATTGTATCAACAACTGTCTCAAAATTTTCATAACATCAAAAAAAATCTTCGTTTGAAGTTTAAACATTTTCTACAAGAATATTCCACACAACCTTTCGAATTCGGGCCGCTTGAATTTTTTCTTTTTCTAACATATTAATATGAACTGTTTCAATCTCCTCAATCTGTTGATTCGTGGTTGTAAAAAATTGAGTAGGGGCAACTATTCCAGGAAAAATAAAAAGCCCAAAAGATTTCAATAAATATAGAAAAATTTTTTTCATGATTATTAATCAAATTCAGAGTTATTTTCAATAATTGCAACTCTTCGCCGAGCAAAAAAACGGGGCATTAAAAAAATAGGAAGACATTTTTGAATAGATTCAACAATAACCAGTAAAAAAATACAGACTTAAAAAATCAATCAGATATAGTTTTTTTATTTTCTATTATTCACGGAATTTCAAAAAAAGCTTGCTGGGGTGTTCAAAGACCATACAAATATCAAGGCAAAAAACCGTTTTAAATGACTTTTGAAAGTATTTTCAACTTTTGCGCCTTCAAACACCCCAGAAATCGTTCCCAAAAGAAAAAATGTTATAATGGAAACGAAAATCAGCGAAAAAAAATCTTTCCGCTTGACAAGACAAAGTGATTGATAAACGTAAGCCGAGCCAATATTTAATAGTAGTCTTAAAACGTTGATGAATCGGTCGGTTATCATGATGGATCTGTTGGCAAGCACTCCAGTGATTTGAGACACGTGACAGCTTTTTTCTGCTTTCTGGATATATCAAAAAAGACTATAGCGAAAAAAATAAATCTCGCAGGAACTTTCAAAAATGTAGAAGTCTTTCTTTGCCTGAAAAAATACAAATAAGAAACTTTTTCTCTCAAAAGTCTAAAAGCGTACTGACTATTCAATTTTCAATGTACATCATGCTTCTGGCGATGCTGAAACAAGCTTCAAGTGCTTCTTTTTTTCTTTAAATCGGTTCTTTCCAACCACTAGCTGACCAAATAAATGGCACCAGAAGCATGATGTACACCAAAAACCTAAAACGTAATTAAAAAAAGGAATTTGCACAAAACATTATTATTTAAGAATATTTCACTGAAAATCGTATTAAAAACATGACCAAAAGGTTTAGAAAAAAAGCATGTCCAATAAGGAAAGAAAATAATTTTGTTTCGTGTCGAAAAAATGCTCGAATTGAAAAATTATTTTTTTTACAATTTCCGTTGAAACCTTATGCTCGGACATTGATTATCAAAGCTATAAAAAGTTTTCCAAGAGAAAATAGCACAGATAATTTTTATGCCGTGTTCAAGGCTAATTAGCGGGAATCGAATTAATATTTATCAAGTTGACTTTTTCAGTCCACTTGAAATGGAACGGCCTAACTTTGAACAAGGCATCATACCTAAAAACGCTGGAAGTTGAAAAACAAAAAGTAAAACAGACACGGCGTTCTTTTGACGACGCCCCTCCCACAATTTCCGTTATATTTGACGTCTTTGGTGCATACACAGAGCGACGCTAACTTGCATACTCATTAAATTCGAAAAATAATTTTTTTCCTCGAAAAAAATAGCGTTTTTTTCTCAAAATTACAGACTTGAAAAAAATCGATCCTTTAACAATTCCTTTTCTAGTTGACAAAAAAACATTTGGGTGAAAGTTTTTCTTATTTTCTGAACACTTTTATACCTTTCACCCTCAAAAATTAGTTATAGTCCTTTTTTTCAGTGAAAAACGTGAAATTTTGTGCCGAAAATGACTTATTTTGGTTCTATGTATCTTTCCGCACATATTAAAAATTAAAAAAAAAGTTTTCTTCACAGATTTAGTTTAGTTCATCCACCTAGTGGTACTTTTTCTCCTCTGCAACATCGCCATACCATTCTGATGTTGCGAAAATGAAGAGATTGATTGATTCGAATAAAAAATTTAATTTGACACTGAAAATGTGTATGAAAGGCTTTTTTTTTGCTTTAAAGGGGAAATTTTGTCAAAACCCAGCAGTTAACATTGAAAATTGAAAAAAAAAGTTCCTTCGCATTTTGCTGTCGCAATAAAAAATAATTACCGTAAATCAGAACAAAACAGATAAAGACACAATTGAAATAAACATGAAAAATCACGTCAAGCACTTGAGCAACAAGAAATTCAAATGTTCGCGCGCAAGCTGTCTACCGTAACTCTAGGTGGAGCAACCTTTCAAAGCCGCTCCGCATTTTCAAAATTTTTACATTTTCTTCCACTACGCAGAACGCCGTGCAGAGAAAGAAACATCAAATTAAAAAAAAATTCAATGTTAGCGCCCCGAAAATGCGCCAGTCTTCAACTGAAAGCGCGAATTCAGTTTAGACAGTTTTTCAATTCTAATTTTTTTTTTTAGGAGAAGAGGGAATATGTTTAAAATAAGAAAATCTATTTTCATAGAGAGAAGGGATTGACCTATCAAAAAAGACTCCTGCGACTGACCGAAATATGATCGCTGTATGCCGTTGTAATCCTTTTATTGTAAAGTCGGTTTTTAAGAGGTCCGTTTGGGCTAGGAAAAAAGTCTATCGTCTTGTTAGGATATCCAAGGTGGCAAAATTCTTGAATAAAACAAAATAACACTGAAAACGGATTTTCGCCTCGATACCTTCATAAATTACTTCGGTGATTCTTTAACAACACAATGGAAGATTTTAACACAGGGTCACTAGTTCATGGAACATTTTATATTGCTAAAGACCCAAAATAAGCATTTCCAAGAGCAAAAGCCTCATAAAAATGGTCATTGGGAAGGCGAAAAGACCATCGGCCGCCAAAGGGCAGGAAAGGGAAAGAACCAGCCGACCAGGCCAAATTAGGGTGGCTCTCCGCTGGACACACACACAGACACGTGATGTTGTTGCCAGTCGGAATGGTTAGATGGATGAATGAGGAACGTCCAAATGAGTGCAGGGGGCAAATAATCAGATGCGCGGCCTGCTGATCTGCTCCGCTGATAATCGCCTTATTTCGAGCCGAGAGCCTCGGCCTTTTTGGCAGATTGAGAAGCAGCTCGGAGACTTGAAGGGCAGAGAGAGTTTTTGGAAAGTACTGTAACAACAGAAATTCAATCAAAGCCTCGGCTCCAAAATGCCAAAAAAAAACCACTTAGGGACTCCAGAGTGGTCCCTATAGGGGTTGCCTTGAAGGGTCATCTCTAGGGACCACTTTACCAACCCCTATAGGGACCATTAGAGCTTGGAAAAGTGGCGGGTTTCAAAGGAAAAAAAGCCCTTAAAAGCCTTGAAAAAGTGGTTTCTATAGCAGTTAATCAAGGTGGTCCCTCTAGGGGTTTAGGGTATGAAAATTATCGACTAGCATGCCCCTATAGGGGTCACTAACGAAAACCCCTATACACTTTTTCAAGCTTTGGTAACCCATATAGGGGTTTGCCTCTATAAATGTTGATGAAGTGGTCCCTGAAGGGGACCCTCCAATGCCCCTAACGTCGCCCCTAAAAGGACCCCTCTGTATTTTTTTTCCTAAGTTGATAATTGTTATGAACTCTAAGCGAAGAAGCATCTACATGGGAAAAACGAAAAAAATAAGCGTTTTTTTGATAAACCGAAAAAAACTTATAGGGTCCCCCGAGTTAAGGGGTCAGAGCCTAAGCCACTACAGGGACCACTCTAAAATTCCTAAGCATTTGCTGGAGTGAAATGAGGAGAATCCTCAGAAAAGTTGAGAAGGGTCCGCTAAAAATCTTCTGAAATGATGGAAAAAAAAGTCTTTTGAGTTTCTTTTTATAGCAGGAAAAAGTTTTAGGGACCACTATAGGGTTTCGACGTTTTAGTGGTCACTATAGTAGTCAAATTAGTGGCCACTTAAGGGGTTAAAATTAGAGGCCACTATAGAGGTCTAAGTGCTACTACTAGACAACTAAAAATTCTAGTGGCCACTTTAGGGGTCAATGGATCAACATAACTGGTCCAATCTGTTTGTTTTAGAATTATCAGAGTTACTGAAGTGGCCACTGAAGAGAAAACCTCTATAGTGGCCACTATAGAGGTGGGTTTAGTGGCCACTTTAGTGCCCTCTCCAAGTAGTCCTTGGCGAGCCTCTATAGTGGCCATTAATAATTTTCCCACTAGTCCTAAGGATCCTTCTTGAATCTCCTGAAACATTCTGTTCAAAGGAAGTGAAAGCTTCTGAGGCCTAACCTCATTTCTCATCTAGAGCTTCTCATTCTAAACTTAGAACTCGGAACGAAAAGAGGTCAAAAATCAAAGGCCGAGGGAGAGAATATATGTGGGCCGCAAATGACGTCGTCATTCGCGTGTTTATAGCTTTGCGGGAAGGGGTGGCAACATACGAAGCGACCCCCATGGATTGACTATTCGACCAGTTGAAACAGCTGGCCAAGGGGCTGCCAATTGGACAAGGTCCTGACCCCCAGTGAGAATCGAATTGACCCGGCTCATGTTTCAATTCATTCTCACTGGATCGTGTAATTGAACTGACAGGAGAAGAGAAGTTTTCGAGAAAATCGCTCAAATATCCTCTAAATTCCAGATGAAGCTCTTTGTTAGTCGCATTAGGTTTGAAGATATGAATTTCGAAAGTTCGCGTTTGACACAAAACCAGAAGTACAAAGCTCTGCTCAGGGCCAGGATTGATGGCCGAATCAGAACAAAACCATCTCAATCACGGATTTTAATCTCATATCATAATTTTAATCGCATAATTTCTCCAAATAACACATTTTCGGCCGCTCACTACCTCATTTACACTCTCTGTGAAAAATTTCAAGACAAAAGGTTCGAAAAAAGGCAAATTTTCG